TCTTCCTGTAACAGTTGTTGGAATATTAATCGTTAGCAATGAGTTTGTTGATGGAACCCAGCAAACATCATCTCTAGAAGGCCAACATTATGACCTTGAAGGGTAACATGGATGCATGAAATTAACTTGAAAGTCTTTATTTTCAACATCAATTTCCTCAATTAGTCCGATCCATGGATTGTTATCATATATCAAACATACAAACACACCAATGCTTATATTAGACAAGAATTCTTTAATATTCTCATCAGTTTAAAAATTAAAAACAAATGAATACTCCAATTGTTCAGAAACAATTTTAGTTCCAATTTTTGTGTTACTTATTGGAACAAAATTGTGATAGCTATGAGTGCCTGGTAACTGTTTTTGCAGTTGTATATCTTTTCTCCATTTTACTTCGAATTATCGTGTTTGACTCCTTGGATATGTAATAAAAATTAATTCCGATGATTTTATTTTGGCAAAAATTAAACATTGCAGACGCTGTAAGAATATGATTTGTTGTTGTTCGATGAAGGCTAGCAATTGAAGTCAGTCTTTTTACAGTCCCACCAATACCATCACAGGGTGATTTACTGTGACTTGTTGCAAAGAAAGACCAGGTACATTTCATAGCAAAACCTTGTTCATGGTAGCATATATTTACGAAGTGTTTGCAGTTCTTGTACTGGCCAGCACACCCATCTGAAAAGTAATGGACACTTTCTATTTGATGATAAATATTGCTTATAATATGTTCAATTGTTAGCTCAACATCATGCAGTAAATTATCTAAGATGAAACATATTGAATCACATTTGAGGACATTATTTTCTTTATAATAAATTACTGTTGGATGCAATGTGGCTTGAATTTTGTTCCAATGAAAACTTTGTATTTTGTCTTGTACAACAAACTCGTAATTTTCTGAGAAATCACTAAGGATTATGACCTCAGTACTACTTAACTCTTTTTTTAACTTTCTTAAAGAAGCAGCTTGACTTTTTGCAATGTAAGAATGAACAGTAAGTTTTTGTAACTTATTTTTCAAAGTATTAATAAAGCTACTTGTCGTTTCTGTTAGACTTAATAGTTCAGATCGGTCTGTTGTTTTCCATTGTTTGTAATCTATACAATAATCATCATCTTCATCAATATCGTCTTGAGAGTACAACTCATTTTCAAGATAATGTACCAATGTAGAATCTTCTGGGCACAAAGGGCAACGATGTATCATGCAAGTCTTGTTTGCCCTACTACAAACAAGCATATCAATAAGCTTGTGATAATCCTTTGATAATTTAACTGCACTAATCATTAACTTAACATTTTGATGGTAGGTGCACACACATACTGTACGCGTACCAGATGCTCCAACTGTAATGCACCATTTTGGACGATGTGAGCAAAAGTTAGAAAAACAGCTCTTTATATCTGGATAACAGGTTTTAAACTTTGCATATAGCTCTTTTAGATTTGAAAGAAACAAACGCTTTTACATATGAGATCTTCGAGCTATACTAACAAAATCTTTTTTACCAGACATTAGCCTGCTATTTTCATCATTACAATAAAATTCAATAATTTTATCTACTGTTTCTTGAGGTATTTCCTTTCCTTTTTTTAGGAAAAGATAAAATACCATTTTTCTGCAGCAATTAGCATGATATCTGCACCATATAATTAGTAACATTAAATACTTTTTCTATATCTTTGTGAGACCAAGAAATTGGAACCAGTGTTAGTAATTGAATTTTACAATTACAATTACAATTGGAAATTAACATTTTTTCTTTGATTTTTCTAATAAGTATATCCATGTCATTTGCTTTACCTTTAACATCCTTAGATAATTTATTGAAGGAATCTTCTTTACTTAACTGTTCAGGATCTATATTTAAAGTCCTTGCAATACCTAACTTAACAATTTTTTTTTTGCCAAGAGCAACTCTTGAGTGACTATTTACAGCATGCATTTTGAGAGGACTTATGTTCATAGTTGTCAAAGAAGAATGAAGATTTTTTTTTAACAATTTATTTATATTAAGCTCATTATCTTCATCTTCATAAATCTGGCTACAAGTTGGTTCTCTTTGCTCATCATCTTTAAATGATATCAATTTAATCATACACGAGGGACATATCTTTTCTCCAGGAACAGCATTAATACCAATATTTTTTAATTTCCCAGCAAGTTGCATATTAATTTCTTTACATCCTCCTAAAAACAGGAGTGATAATTACTACTTCAGTGAGTATTTTGCAAAAATATATATAATTTATAAATAATTACAATAAAGTTTTAAAAAAGTTTCATGGTTAAGTAATAATACCTTTTCTTCTTTTTCCATTGTGTGAATTAAATGGATCACAGCAAGTTATGTGGATTGTAGAGTAACATTTTAAATAAAAATATTCATGGTGTAGGCAAACCGTTGCATTTTCATCAAATTGAATGCTGGAACGACTAATTATCAAGTCTTTTTCCACATCATTAAGACTTGAAACTTTCTTGATATCAAGAGATTTTACATATGTTTGTTTGTTACAAATTTCTTTATTTATTATTCCAATCGAGCATCTTTCTTTATCATTCATATTGTTATATTATTTTTTAGATCTGTAAGAAACAATTTTGAAATAATTATTGTTTAAAGATTTGAAAATAGAAAATCAATTAGCTATTAATCATAATGATTGCATAAAATAAAGATCTTTTATGTGAAATGCAAACAAGTTTATATATTAGAACTGTACCTTACACAGCAAGATTCTAAAAATCTTTTTAAAAAATGCAAAAAATTTATGCAAATTGTTTTTTTCATTATTAAATAACAGTTTTTCTTAATTTTTTAAATAAAATTTTAAATGCAAATAAATCTAATTTAAAAAAGAAAACCCTTCCAGATTTTTTGTATTATAGAGTTTGATACATATAGAACATTAGGAAAAAATTTCAGAATTTTATCTTTTAGGCATCTTGAGATAAACATTTTTTTGTACAGGGCATCAAAAAACTTACAAAAAGTGTTACACCATTTTGAAATTGAATTTTTATATAGAAGCTTGAGTTTTTTTGTGTTTTAGCCATGATTTTTTAGTTCCTCACCCTAAAAAATAGTTAGGCAGAAATTTTGACCACTGTTAAACAAGTATTTCGTAAGTTAAAGCTAATTGTGTCGTGCAATGAGCCTAAAAAATAAATGGCGCTGAAAAAAAAAGTTAAAAAATAGGTTGGGACCAAGTATCAATATCTCTGAAACTGTAAGGAGTCAGACACTAAAATTTGGAGTGAAGTTTTCTTTTATTAAATCAAGCTTGCATTCCAAAAATCAGCAAAATCTGAGATGGCATGGTGCCGAGCATAAATTTAATTGAGCTGGAATGACCCTATATAGTTTTATATTCTGTAATATAAAATTTCCCCTGCTTTAATTGATTGTCCGTTTCTTTACCCTGAAAGTCCTACTACGCGCCTCTAAGACTTTGAATAATTTTTGTTTGATTTTACAATTATTATTTACATCAATTTTATTTTTTGGATAAAAAAGAGTAAATAAGTTTTTTATTAAAACAATAACTTAAAAATCATTGCAGACCTTTCAAATTCATTTATAAGCGAAAATTAAAAAGTTCGGTAATGCAACCTGTGTAATTTCGGTAATGCAACACCTCACAGTTAAAACCAAATTTCTAGTTTATATTTTTAAGACATTCGATTTAGTTGTTTCTTAAAAAAATTCTTAAAAACGTATAAAAAATAAATTTTATTAAACTTTTTTTTTGAAAACCAAAGTATGAGATTTGTTAACTAATATATTTTATAAAGTTTACTTGAACTCAGAAACTTAAAAATGCCACGATGATATGAAAAATGTCAAAATTAAGAAATGTGGATTTATTTAGTTTATAGCTTAATTTGAAGAAAATGATTAAAAAAATCATACCCACTTGTCATTTTTATAATCCCCATGCATAAACCCTCTTTTTCGAATGCATTCGGTAATGCAACGCATTTTTTGAAGCAGCTCTTATATTTACAGTTTTTCTGAATATTTTTTTCAAAAATGGCGTACCTAAAATTTTTAGATTTTTCTTATTGGTAATACTAAAAAAAAAAATTAAAAATACCAAGCGGCACAGCAATAATCTAAAATCCTGTAAGACGATGACCTTGTTGCAATAACAAACAGAGAACCATATACTGATAATGATGATGATGACCATGATGGTTAAGTCATTAGAAAATAATACAATTTTTCAATGTTGTTAATTCAAGCTGAATTCTTTGTTTGATATGTTTTTATCAATAAAATAGAAGCTGGAACAGATTGGTTGATATAAATGAGTATAATATGGTCATAATTTAATATACAAAAAATTTTTTTTTGTGATTATTATTTGATTGTCTTGATTGTAAAAGTTTAAAAAATGTAATTTAAAATAAAATTTGGAAAATCAAAGAAATCCACCGATATAAATTCTGGCTACCCCTTGATAAAATAAAATAATTTAAATCATGTTGAAAAAATGCTGTATTAATCCTACCAAATTTTTGCAAAAAATTATTATTAATAATTATTACAATAATAATTATAAAAAAAAAAATATCAACTAAACTTTGGAACATTTTTTTGTTGAAAACTTTATCTTTAAACTACATATTTATAGCATTAACTTTTAAATACATCATCATCATCATCATCATCATCATCATCATCATCATCATCATCATCATCATCATCATCATCATCATCATCATCATCATCATCATCATCATCATCATCATCATCATCATCGTCGTCAATCGTCATCATCATCATCATCATCATCATCATCATCATCATCATCATCATCATCATCATCATCATCATCATCATCATCATCATCATCATCATCATCATCATCATCATCATCATAGGCCTGGTTTGATAAAAAATAGCATAAAAAATAAAAAATGTTATAAACCATAAATTAAAAGTGTTATAAACTCTATATTTAAAACATTCACTTTTAAATACCTTATTGCATTTAATGTATCTTCTTCATTAGAAAATTCAACAATACCAGATTGTTTACTTCTTCCATTTCTTTCTTTCAACACATAACACTTAATAGGTCGAAACTCTGCAAACAAATTATTTAAATCACTATCTTGAGCATCTTCATGTAAACTTTTTACATATATTTTCAAGGGCAAAGATTGTGTTTTTGAATTAATCGATGATTGAGAATCCAAGCTTGATTGGGAGCCATATGGATCCTAAATAAAATGAAAATAATTCATTCAACATAATTAATATCAACTAATTTAATAATTAATACAATAAACTGAGCTAACTTAATTAATATAAGTCATAATTTGATACTTTTTCAATACCTACTCTTAATAATAATGAACTTTCATATTTCACTGATATAGTAATGTAATGATGCCTTGGAACAATTTCTTTTAAAATCAAACCACTATAAAGCTGTCTGTGAAAGTAAATATTACAATTTGGTAGTAGTTCCTATGATAACTATAGCAACTCCTTATGTTACCTCCTAGTAACAGTTTACAAGTAGTTACTATTTGTAAATTTGACAATTTTTCTAATAGAAATATGGCAGTTTTGGAACAACTATTGTCATCTCCTTGGCTATATTGGAAAAGTGTCCATAAAAACATTTTTTTTTAACCAAGTGTTTTGAAGCAAAGAAATTTTTTTTAGCTAAGTGTTTTAAAGCAAAGAATTCAATTATTTGAACAGAATCTGATATTAAATTTTTGATCCATTTATATTCATAGCAAAAAATGCTGCACATACCAAAAGACATCTAACATCTGTATCAGTTAATAACAAACTGAATAAGCCATATGAAATAAAACTGCAACAAAAAGTTCGGGACATAAGTACCAGCACAACAAAATAAAAAATGAAAATCTAATGTGATGAAAAGCCACCTTACTTTGTTAAACACTTTGTACTTTTGTAATAGCAAGAAAAAGCCGCAACACTTTTTATTATAAGCAAAGTCAACGAAAGAGTATGCAAATATCTAACTTACGTAAACTTCAAATGATATGTGATGTTAAAATGTACTAAAACATATATCAAGTTTCTTAAGTTTCACTTTCATTTGAAAAATGCTTTGCGGCAACATCTCCTTACGATTTGAGCTGTAGCACATATTTCCGTTTTATAAAGTCTTTTATTTATTATTATTTATTTTTAAAACTTTCACTGAATAACATGTCTACATAGTTGAGTGGATAGCACGCCGGATTTCTAATGCAGAACCCCTGGTTTGATTCCTGCCGCTGGCGTTTTTTTTTTTTTTTTTAATTTAATCTGTTTTGATTTTTCTAAAATACAAAATAAAACGCTTTTGAATAAAAAAGTTTGCTTTGAAAGAATTAAAGTTGTTTCATTTTACATTTTAAATAAATTAAATAAAAAAAAAAGTTAACTTGCCACGCGGCAAGGTAAATATTTTTTAAATAGTAAGGGACTTTAAATAGTATGTTTTAATTAGAACATTATCAATAATTCTGATTCTATATTTAAAATAAACCATTTAATGAAATTTATAATTTTTAATAATAACAAAAAGTTAAAAATTATTTAATATTAAAGTAATATAGAAATTTACAGCTATTTTACAGCTGTAAAGGAGTTTTACAGCTATTTTACTATGGCCCCGTTAAATAAACAGAGTGCGCAACAATGACAGCATTTAGAAAACCATCAAAATAGTACTATACTCTGTATATTGGAAGAGTTGCACATTGGTTGCACATATGTCATGTTAGAGATAATTACGTTATTAATGTGCTTAATTATTTAGTTAGGTCTGCGCATTTACATGCATTAAAGAGTTTTTTAATGTTTATTAAACTTTCTTTCTTATAGAAAAAAAGATTTTACATGCCAACTTAAATTTTCTTCAAAATTACCGTGGCAAGAGTTCTAATAAGTCCTGAGGAAGGTCTAAAAAAAAGGTAGTAGAAACTTATTAAAGAAAAAAGTAATAAGGTTCCTCTCCTTTTTTTTTTTTTTTTTTCTCTTTCTGTTTTTTATAGAAGTTTTAATATAAAACAAAACAAAGATTTTTTATATTTTGCTTTTTTATAAAATTTATTGAAATAAAGCAAAATTATTAAAATGGTTGGTATCATAACCAGTATTATACGGGTCGTGGTAAATCTGTTATTTCACATGTTTTTTAAAACTTTTACTAATGGTAATTATTTAACATATTTAAGCAGGTATTACAAATATTACTTACACATGTACTAATATCAAATCCGTTGATAAATAGTGATTTGCACAACAGCTACCAAAACGTTTAATGCTTTTTAAAGTTAATTAAAACAGAAAAAAAAATTTTCATAGCTTTAAAAAGTAAATAATAAGTATTATTTTTCTATATATAATTAGTTAATTTTCTTCCGCTTACTAAAAAATATTAAAGTAACGAATAAATATAGAAAAGTTCGGTGTTGAATAGATTTACCAACACCTGTATTTTATAGGTCAGGACAGCTAGTCATTTAAAATTAAGCTAAAATCATTTAAAATTGAGGTAACTAATCCACCTAATCATTTAATTTAGATAATTCTTACAGCCAATTCTTATTTCAATAACATTTCAGTGGACCAGAATAGCTAATATAAAGACAAAATTATTAAAAAAAAAAATTAATATTAGTGTAATATGTCAACTAAATTTGGTAATAATAATATTTTTTTTTTAAAAACATCTTTGCTTCCAACATGGCTGCAAGCAACCATTAATTAGTGTTGGAAGTTAGTGGAAAAGAAAAGATGAAGATTGCAGAGCAAGATAACGATTGACAGACGACTTAAAAGATTATATGAATCAGAATAATATGAGGTATGGGCTTTTTGTAAAGGTGAAATTTTTTGATTTGCTATGGGCACCTAATTTTCCATAGCAACAGGTTACTTTTGGTAAAAGCAGATTTTTGGTTTTATATGAAAACTATTATTTTGAACCTTTTATTTTGCAATAATGTAAACAAAGTTTTGTTTACATTAAACAAAGTTTTGTTGCATTTTAATCCTTTTTAAAACAAGTTCATTAATTTTATAGTTACCTATAAATCTCAAAATTTTATAGTTACCTATAAATCTCAAAATTTTATAGTTACATATAAATCTAAAAATTTTATAGTTACCTATAAATCTAAAAATTTTATAGTTACCTATAAATCTAAATATTTTATAGTTACCTATAAATCTAAAAATGATTTACAAACTTAACTTAAGAATGGCTTGTTAATATTACATGCCTGGATAAGGTGCAGAGAATACTTTTTAATAAAAAATGGAGAATAAATGGAGCTGTTGACTTTTTTTGATACGTTTCATACTTTTTCAGATTCTTAAAAGCAACAACTTTGAAACTGCATTTTATTTTTTGAGGTAAACTGAAAGAAAACATGTCTATGTACATTATCTTGTTGTTTAGATGTTAATGCTGCTTTTTTTCACGAGTATTGTTTACAAGTTGCTGGCATGTATGTAAATGGTACTATATGCCAGCTAGAAAACTTTCAAATTGATTTATTCCTATTAATTGTAGTATTAAAGTTGATCTTCCTGAACGCCACAAGGTTCCAACATTTGTCTCTTGCTGTTTCTTATCTTTGTTAGTGATTTTTATGACAACCTGCTATATTGATTTTCATAACAATCATGACAATCTATTTTATCATTATACAACTATATATTCTAGTCTCAACAAAATTGTTATCTCTTTTTAAATTCACAAAAATTTAAAAATGGAAAAATTATTCTTTTGTTACTCAATTATCAAAACCATCCAATTCTTAAATCAAAAACAAAAAAATTCAAGAAAATTAGTTAGTAAATGATTTAATCAAATTGCCAGCAGCGAAGAAACATCACAGATCATATTGATATTTGCTGTAAAGAAACTTTGTAAAAATAAAAAATCCAAAAGAACCCTATGCTGTGAATAATATACTGTAGATGCAAAAATCAAGTTCCATAAAAATCAGCTATAAAACTAAATAAAACATATTTTTTCTTGAAACAAATGATAATCCATAGGCAGATCAAAAAAGAAAAGACGGTAACATTAATTGTTAACAACAATTTAACATAAATTAACATAAATTATATTCAAATAAAAGGAGATCTAAAGTAATGTTTTGAATTGTTAATGATGCCATAAAACCTTAAAAATTTTAGGCAAATATAAAATTTCTAAAAAAAAAGTTACTGCTTACACAAAATTTTTTTAGTTATAACAAAATAACACTATTGCGTTATTTTGTTATAACTAAAATAAAATTAAAAAAAAAAAAAACCAGGAGCAAAACTCTGACCTTGTCACTAGTTTCAAAAAATTTTATTTTTGTTATTTTCAAAAGTTTGAACAATCAAGTATAAAACAATTAAACTAAAATAAATTTGTGTTATCTGATAACAATTATTTAACAAATAAAAATAAAAGTCAGTTAAACCTTTATCCCTGGATCAGAAATAGAATCCTTCTTACTCTCATTTTTGGATTTACAAGGTTCAACACAAAGCTCTTTAGACATGTACTCAAAATTATTCATTAATCTAAAGAAGATTGTAGAGAAAAAAAAAGCTGAAAATTAATCAAAAATATCATCATCATCATCATCATCATCATCATCATCATCATCATCATCATCATCATCATCATCATCATCATCATCATCATCATCATCATCATCATCATCATCATCATCATCATCATCATCATCATCATCATCATCATCATCATTAGTAAGTGAATGGGGTTGAAATTTTGACAAGGGCCAGGGCCTGGTTTGATAAAATATAGCATAAAAAATAAAAATTGTTACAAACCATAAATTAAAAGTGTTATAAACTCTATATCTAAAACATTCACTTTTAAATACCTTATTGCATCAAATGCATTTTCTTCATTAGAAAATTCAACAACACCAGATCGTTTACTTCTCCCATTTCTTTCTTTCAACACATAACACTTA